TGAACTCTTATCTATTTCTTTAATTCAACAATATCTGTTTTATTAAGTTTGAAATTTTATGCTTTCATCACAATTAAGTAAAGATCTTAGAAGTTGCACAGCTTTTTAAAACTCACTTTGAGGCATTTCCTCCAAGTTCCACACACACACAAAAAAAAAGACAGCTGTTAACTTCTGCCTATGATATCACTTTGTTGCATAGTAAATCTTTGCTTTGACCAAGGACAGGGTAGGGATGAAGAGCTTGAGAAGAAGATTAACATTAAACAGGAATGAGAGGTGGGAGGGAAAGGGAGTGAGAAGGGAAATCGCATGGAAATGGAAGGTGATCCTCAGGGTTATACAAAATTACATATAAGAGGAAAGGAGGGGTAAAACAAGATAATACAAGTGGAAGAAACGATTTACAGTAGAGGGGGTAGAGAGAGAAAAGGGGAGGAGAGGGGAGGGGAGAGGGGATAGTAGAGAATAGGATAGACAACAGAATACATCAGTCACTAGAACGGCAATATGTAAATCAATGGAAGGGTAACTGATGTGATACAGCAATCTGTATACGGGGTAAAATCGAGAGTTCATAACCCACTTGAATCAAACTGTGAAATATGATATATTAAGAACTATGTAATGTTTTGAACGACCAACAATAAAAAAAAAAAATCTTTGCTTTGGCCTTGTTGACAGTTTGTACAATTTATATGTTACTATAATTTCATCCTAGTGTTAAAATAATCAATGATGGTGATTTTAGAAAAGCTGTTTAAAAAAACTATACATTTTACTGTGTTATTTTACAGATAACTTTCGAAGACGGGACACTGGTCAGCAAGGCATGGTGAATTTCTCATATGATGATGTAAGTCTAAGTAAATTAAGAGCTATGTAGATGGATACAGTGCACCAAAAATGGGCATCCCTTTTGAATTTAGATGTTAAGAACATCTTAAAGATGCCAGAGAAATCAGAGATTAAGTGATCAGAAGGAGTTACCATCTAAAACATATTTTGTTTATTTTTTATGTGGTGCTGAGAATCGAATCCAGCACCTCATGTGTGCAAGGCAAGTCCTCTACCACTGAGCTACAACCTCAGCCCTAAAATTAATTAATTTCATTTACTATTAGTTTTTTCTATAGGTTGGACCTCTGATTTATATTTAAAGACGTGGGTTCAAATCTAGCCTGTTGCATTGATTAGCTGCATCGTGTCGCTTATATGGTTTCTTAATTGCTTTGAAACTTTTTGAATAAAGAGAAGGATGTCATTATAGTAGTACCTCTTTCCCTGGGCTGTTTTAAGATTTCAGTCAGAAATATCCTCAAATCATATGCTACAGGTATTGTGTCTGATTTTCCCTTCTACAAACAAACCATCTCAGTGACTGAGAAGTAGCTTTAATAGCTCAAACCTGCACTTTGCACAACTATGTTCTTAATTGAGCAGGTGCCAGCTTAAATAATAATTTAAGGGAAGTTTTTAATGTATAGCCACACTAAACAAGAGAGGATGGGGCCAGTGTGAAATAACCAACTGCCCTCTCTGATACCATTCACTGGATGTGTGTAACAAAAGTAAGGAGATGCTTTGTTATTTCATGTTTTTGCTTGGCCATTGATTAAAAAACAAAGTCGCTTTGAGAATTGAAATCACTGTAATCACTGAATATTCTAAAATATTTCTAACAGCTACTGTGGTTGTCAGTGCACTTTGGAAAGGCATAGTATATGTGAAAGTATAAAATGCTTCTTTCTTCTATTTAAGGGTGTGTTCTCTTTAGTGTGCCTTAGCTTAGCTTCTCAGTTGACAGTCCTGTCACTGCATTAGAGAGCAAGGGCACTGGGGAATGGTTTTATTTGCATCTAGGTTTATTTTGATAAGCAGATTTTAAAGGAATACATTGTTTTAAAATGCTCCATTAAAGTAAAGGGGGTCAAACTGTGCAATTTGGAACATGATGTGACAGTATAAATTCCAGTTATTTGTATTTGTGGGCAGGTACCTTTAAGCGTGACCTTTTGTAGGATCTTCAATATTATCCAGGATTTAAATAATCCTTTATCAATTGAAGTAATGTCTTATACCAGTAAGAAGTAAGAACCCCACTGGGTATTTCTTTTTCTTTTTCTTTTATACTAGAAATTGAACCCAAGGATGCTTTGTCACTGAGCTACATCCTCAGTCTTTCACTTTTTTGAGAATGGGCCTAAGTTGCTGAGACTGGCTTTGAGACTGCCTCAGCCTCCTGAGTGTCTGGGACTACAGATGTTTACCACCATACCTGGCTCCCATTTTTTTTTTCTTGGTACCAGTGATTGAACTTGGGGCATTCAACCACTGAGCCACATCCCCACCCCTATTTTGTATTTTATTTAGAGACAGGGTCTCACTGAGTTGCTTAGTGCCCCACTGTTCCTGAGGCTGGCTTTGAACTCACGATCCTCCTGTCTCAGCCTCCCAAATCACTGGGATTACAGGCATGTGCCACCACACCCAGCTTTCCATTGGGTTTTATAGTAGAGCATTTCCCTAAAAAAATGAACCTTTCCATTCATGATGTAATCATATATTAGAGGTTGTGTGTATGTGTGTGTGTTAATCCTTAATTCCAAGTTGGAGAACTAAAATGTAAACTGTTGAAAAAAATCAGCTCTAGTGAACTAAGTGTTTTGTGGTCTGTAGCATAACACTGGCTTTTCTCTCTTTTAGTTCATTCAGTGTGTCATGACCGTTTGAGAGGAAGCTGCTGGAAGTCAATCAACATTCCACCTGGAGTTCGCATTTGCTTACTCTTTGCCTTCAGTACCGTGTGTAGCTTACATGGCTACTTCCCCCGACAGCTCTTGTAAAGGTCTATTACGTTACACACAACTGAAGTTTTGGTTTTAGTTTTGATAATAAATTCTTTGGAACTTAGTAAGATCAAGTGTGTTATACCACCTAGAACTTCCTTGAGCCAGTATCAGTCATATCTTATTTTCCTACTAAGCCTCTTTTATTATAAATTTGAGTATGCAAAATGTTTAAGGCACATTATTTACTTTTCATTATGAGATATGAAACACTTAATCAGGCTACAATTGTTATCTTTCCTCTCCTGAAGAATGTGGTTGAAAGTTTTGTGTGGAACATTCTTCGGTAAATGATATACACCCACTTGAATGCAAAAAACAAACAGTAATCCATGTTAGAGTTTACCTTCCTAGAAAGTTAGCAGCACAGGATTTAGACTTACACATATTTTCATGGCCTTGTGAATGGACAGGGAACATTGAGTGATTATTTTCTGCCTTTTTAAAATGTATGGATAATTTGAGTGGCAAATACCAAGTCCCTCTTTGTCATCATCCATTCAAACCTTTGTTAACTATACTTAAGAATCTTATATGCTATAAGCTTAACTATGTAAGAAGAAAGTTCATAGAAAAAGACTAAGGGAATATATGAAAATACTAACTATAGTTATTTTTGGCTAATGGGATGCTTCATGACTAATTTTCTTTATACATTTCAGTGTTTTCCAAATTTTGTATAAGATATATGCTTCCATTTTAAAGTCAAAGATGTGTTGATTTTAAAAATATTGATGCATCCAATTTAGTTATGTCATGTGTTTATGCTTTTAAAAACACATAGCAAAAAGACTTAAGTGAGTGTCCTAAAGTGTTAATCTGGCGTCAGGATCATGGGTTTGTTTTCTTTCTTCCTCCTACTTTCCCAAATAGTCTCTAATAAACAGGTATTTATCAATTTAAACAATAATATTTTTAAACCATGCACTTTCAGTAAGATCTGGATTCTAATGCTGGCTGCACCTTTTACTGTGTGGTTTGATCATTTTAGATAACCCCTAGTGTCTTAGTTTCCCATCTTTGAAAAGGAGACAGCACTTACATCTTGGTAGTTCTGAACAGAAAAGGTGTGTTGGTATAACAAGCAGAAACAGCATTTCTGATTCTTAAATTTAAAACTGTCCTGATTTGCCTTTGTTTTGGCGGGGGGAGGGGGTTTTGGTTTTTTTTTTTTTTTTAATAAATACTAAACAAACATCAGTCTTTGCATTACTGGATTTTTTGCAAGAAAGCTTAACAGATTAAAAAAAAAATGATGCTATTATGGTTCCTCCTTGCTGGCAGTGTATCTGTCTTACTTGAGGGCACAATGTGAGCATTACCATTCAAATGAATTAGTTATCAACTAATGAAAATAAAAATTTTCTTAAGTCTCTTTAGCCTCATTTCACTAATGTGTTTTCTAAATGCTAAGATATATATTTCATAAATACTTTTCAACCCTAATTTACATATATAATGTATATTATATAATGTATATATAATATATACATATGATATATATATTATATATGGGGGAGAAGCTTAGATAATATTTATTTATTTTAAAACACCCACATACACAGCAAACCCATTGTCCCCCACTAGTACATATGCATAGTTCATATTAGTATGTAACTAAATTATATCCTTGTAAAGGGAGAGTAAATAACCATAAACTGAAAACAAAGATTATTTTGGTTTAGTATCTAAGCCCCAATTTGAAAAATCTTGTTTAATAGTTTTGCCGAGGTTCTAATCAGATATGATCCTCAAGTCTCAATAAAGACTTGAGTAAATGATTCTCAGTTTATTCACAAGATATTTAAATAGGCAAAAGATATCTAAAGCAATTACAGAAATTAGAAGGTAATGACTTAGACCCTCAAAAATTGAGCTAATATTTTCACACTTCTCTTTACATAAACATAGCATTGAAATAAGCAGTTGTTGCCACTTGACTTTAAGTATTGTCTGCTTTCTATGCTGTAGTCTGTTGGCAATATTTTTCAAAGTAAAAATAAAATATTAATATGAATACTATTAATGCTGACATTCTAATTTTTTTTAGCATTTTAGCCATGCTAATCTAGTCAAAACACCTGGTGGGAGGTTAAAAATAAAGCTTTTAAATCAAAACTAAATATCAATTTAATCATCACCTATAGACTTATATGTTGGGACCCTTTATTTTGCTTCCTTTTGAATGTCCTACTCTTTTGAGACCCAAGTATATAAGCTCAGAATTTCAATATTAAGTTTCTTAGGAGTAGTAAAGAAAAAATCTAGTTAAATTCTTGGAATTAGTTCTAGTCAAAGGTTTTTAGGAAAAAACAATACACCATTAATTGGCTAAGGCAAAAATCCTCAAATTCTGCTCTCTTTAACAACTGTTCTCTAAAATGATAAATGCAGAGCAGGCTGGAAACCCAGAAACCAAGAACTTAGAGCTAAATTGGTCTAACCCTCCCACCTAAAGGACTGAGGACCTGCACAACATGTGGAATGTGGGAAAATGATGATGCACCTTGGGGAAGAGCTTCCTGGAGGCCTAAGCATTTGAGGCAATTTATATGTGAAGTAGTTATGCCTCAATTACATGTTACGGTGTGATGGTCCTGCTGTATCTTACATAGTAAGTCTAGGTTTCATCCCAGATATATTATGTGTGGCCACAAAGCTTCTCTTGAGCCTGGGCTGCCCAAAAATGGGCCAAAGGGTATCCAGAGGACAAAAAGGCAGGGACGGTCCTTAAAGAGTTCTAGTCCCTATTGTTCAGCTAAACCTCACCAGGATCTTGAGAACATAGTTTAAGGGAAGATAAATTTTTGGGTGATCATTTGCATTTAGGTAAAAGCATCCTTGCTAACCCAAGGTCACAGCCCTTATTTGAACCACCTTGTTGTTTTTATGAATCCCAAGATGTGCTACATTTATCATGGTTCTGAATTTGCTTTTGGATAAGTGCTAAATAATTATAAACCATGCTTCTATATCAATTAATTCAATTTTAATTATTGATACTTCAAAAAAGTCTTACCTCCTCTATTTTTGCTCGTACAGTTTGTTTCCAAAAGCATGGCATGGCGCTTCCTCTTCAGTCTGTGTCTGCTGTTAAAAATTTTCCTTCTCCTTGATGGATTTGAGGTAGCCATCCCCTTTCAGTCAGTCTTCATTACAAAAGAATCTTGTGCTCCCTTGTTTTTATTTTATGTTGGGTTCTGTGCTTCATTTCTTTGTATACTTCCAGTGTAGCCTCAACCACTTCTTTAAAACGGTTTCTCAGTCTGTTTAATCTTCTATTAAAGCCTACAGTTGGGAAGGGTAAAGCTGTGAACTCAAACTTGAATTCTTGGAATTATTGGGAGAAATAAGTTCCTCAGATCACTCCCACTCAGGGTTGTATTTTATTTTGGAAATGTGTGCTTCAGTCTTATGGTTCAAAAGATTCATGGTTTACAAAGTCCTCATAACACATTTCACACAATTTTCATAGAAATGTGGCTGCCAGAGGCCTGGTACTTCCTGGGGACTGGCATAGATTTGCACCACAGTAGTCATTAAGTTAAAACTCACGCTCCTGCTGAGCCAAGTTGGACTAGACTTTGCTTTGCCTCACCTGAGTGCATCATTGTTTCAGTGCTCATATAAATGAATTATTATATGCTTCAAACATAATGGAGTTCTATGTGATCACCATAATTTTTAAAATCTCATAATAAATATGCAAGTCCTTCATCAACAACTCCCTTCCATTTTTCTCACACCATAATACAGACTTGACTACTTTTTTCTATGCAGACTAGGAGCTGAAGGCAAGGAAATTGCAAAGCCAGTGTAGTGACTGGTAACTAAAATGGCTGTGTGAGAAGAGACGAAAAGTCTGGAGTGGAACCATTTGTAGGCAATGAACTCGTGAACCTAAACTGAACCCAACCAAGACTCTGCTTTAGAATGCAGCACAGGTGAGCACCACTGCCTGGGCTGTAGGATAAGGTACAAGACATGAATCCTCATTAGGGTGAGGGAAAGTGTTTAAGAAGCAAGGCAGTTGGGGAAGTAGAGGAAAATGCTCAGCAAATCTGAGCACCCAGGCTTTACTAAAGGATTGTTCTATTTCTTATCAAGTTAATGATCTCTTCTAGGACTGTGTAGAACGGGGGGGAGGGGGGGGGAACACCCTGTAACCATATCCTGATTAACCTGAAAGAGCATCTGGCTGGGAGAAAAGAGATTAAAGGGAGTCATGCATCAAAATAACATAAATCTTTTATTGAAAGTCACTTTATTGATGTTACAATGAGAGTAACATAGAAAACTGGTATCTTATTAGCTTCAGAAGTGAATACTAATAAAATTGCGTCAGAAATTTGAACCTCAAGTTACAGTGACCTTTAAAAACAGCAAGATTTTGTTTACCTACAATGCAAGAACAATTTTATAACTTGAATGGCCATAAAACAAATCACACTTGCCCAGGAAAGCAGTCACCATATACATTTCAGTTGGTGTTTGCCAAAACCCAATTATTTTTAAAATAGCGTAAGAACCTGAAGTGCAGAGTAGCAGAGAGAATGTTAAAATGATGCAAATCTAAATATATACACACGGATACCTGGTTACCAAAAGTGAAACCGTGCTGCTAGTAACACTTCCTCGAAGGGTGACTTCCATCATGTGCAGATGGAATCGCCCCTCAAGGATGGCAGATGTGGAAAACACTAGCACAGACCTAAACAGGCGAACATAAACTGCTTTGATTAAATAGAACACCCAGTTTCTGAAAGATGTCGGTTGGGGATTCTAGTTTAGAGGGACAAGTCTTCTTACAAGTTAAAAAGGAGCACATGCTTAGTTATTCTGAAAGATCCTTTTGTTAAGCTTTTGCAGTTAGTGTTAAGAAAAAAAGTTCCCCATACAAAACAAAGGTGTTGGGTCATTTTTAACCATTAAAAAGACTGGTTGTAGAATCACAGTTTGATTTTGTGCTGGATTAGAAAAAAAAAAGTGGGGTTTCTAATCAGGCAGTGATACACATGTATAATTTAGCAGGAATTCTTGTCTTATTACTAAGTATTAATTCCTATCAGCACTCTCTGTATTGTGTTATCTGATATAACTTAGCACCGCTATATTTGTAGATTTGGGGAAATTAGTGTTATTTTAGAGCTTAACCATCAAAACAAATC